TGAAAAGATATTAGGATATTACGACAACATTACTCTTAGGACATCGCAAACTAATTTTTTTCATGAATATGGCTTAACCTGATGGAGGACGCGCTCAGTCATTCAGGCGGTCTCTCTCTCGCGCGCGCTGTTTAGGCATGTTTTGTGCCGTTGATCGTTGTCGTCATCCTTAATAAATAAAACATTTATTCATGCTTGGGTGTCGGCTGTGAATCCAGTGGAGAGAAATCCCCCACCACTAACTGCAAACTGGCATTCAGTTCTGCCTCCATTTTGTTAGCAACGCCCCAACTTCCAACGATCCAATCAATAACCGAAGGACGAATTCAAGTCCCGCCCTCTCATTTCAGATGCCGTTTCACTCGGATATATGTCACAGCAGAGAAGAAAAGACAATCGCAACTTCTGTTTCATGCCGACTTTAAGTCACATAATGGCAGAGGTCTAATCCTGGAGAGTTGTAGTCCTACAGATTTCAGCTCCAAACCCATCCAAGGTTTTCAGGGTTACTTGATAATTACAGGCAGGTGTGTTGGAGCAGGGTTGGAACTGAAGTCTGCAGGATGGTAGCCCTCCAGAAGCAGGGTTGGTGATCCCTGCATTATGAAAATAAAATGGGTATGTAACTTATTGCCCAGCAATTATATAACAATGTACTGTATAATTAAACCAAGTACCAGTCACTTTGAAACACCAAGGTGATGTAACATCTACCATTGCTTGGTGAAATCAAGTAATATGTATCTGCATGACTGGGAGTTTTGTAAGAGGACAAAATAATTCCTCATGCAGATTTCACTTTTGTTTAAATTGGTCACAAAATCCAGTCATTTCAATACATGTCTGCATAATTGGAGGTTTCAAATGAGGGTGAAAAAGGTGTTGCAGTTGAGTTGTTGCAAATTTGCCACACTGACCAATTAATAGCTGCTTGGTTTGAAAGAGACTTGTGTGTGAGTGATGCTTCATGCATCACTACACTACTGACAATGGACAATAGACCTTTTCTGTAAGCAAAATTTCCCAGAAAGTGACCGTGCCTTTAAAGAAAAATGCTGGAGACCCAAGACTGGTAGAATCATTTATCTTGTGCGTAATTACAGTCATATTCTTTACGTTCATAGTATTCACACAGAGTGCATTTAAAATAAACTCAACACTTGTCAAGAACACAAGCACTGGGCTCATTTAGCGTCAGCTGGCCATTGATAAATCCTCTAAATAATGCAGTGTGTCCAAAGCTCCGCACAGCATCAAACACAGTGACATTAGCTGCTATGCAGCAGAGTTTCATTTACAGCCTGGAACCTATAGGGGACATTAAAGCAGAGGCAGATGTTTGATGAATAATGTACTGTACACCATAATGCATTCAGCTTCACAGGGGTCTTATGCTAATAACATCATTAAAACCAATCAAAAGCCCATTTATAATTGCTCCATTATTAACATGACTGCACTGCCGTGGATGCTTGGAGGAGCATAAACTCAAGAATCAAACACAAATGATCTACATACTCCCACTTAAATCATCTCACAGACTAACTGACGTAGGTATCAAAGTGACAGCTAATCAAATGGATCAAAAAACTGCCTGGTTCTATCCAATGACCCTCTCAGGCCTTGTTCAGAGCTACTGCACTGGAAAAAGAGAAGTGAAAAGGAAAGCTTGAATTTGTCCCTGTCAGTCATGATTCATCAAGTCTCATTTACTAAGCAGAGTTTGTGGCAGAGCGGATGTGGCCAGCACTCCCCCCCGCTGTGGCTGAGACCCTTGAGTCAGGACAGGAGGGGATTGAGGGAACGGCAACATGACTCCAGCTCTCTCTTTCTCATTCTTTTCCTCTTGTGCAATCTTTTCTTGTTTTTTGGCATTGTCCAGAAGCAATTTAACAGCCTGGTGGAAAATGACACGGGGGTCAGCTTTGGGGAGGGCAGGACAGTCACAGCTTGCGCGGAGCTCCAAAGCCTATAACAACACAGAAAATGACACAGATTAATGGAGATGGATTTAAGCTTTGACTTTTGACCTACGAACCTTCCAACTCTTCATCTCTACCCAGGTGACACTGCTTTTTAAGGATTGATGGATGGATGGATGGATGGAAATAGTGACATGAAATTTGGATGGTTGGATGGATGGAAATAGTGACATGAAATCTACATGGAAGATGGATGGAAATAGTGATATGAAATCTGGAAATAGTGAAATTAAATCTGGAAACAGCGATATGAAATCTAGATAGTAGGATGGATGGACTGAAGTAGCTATTCAAAAGATGGATGTATAGAAATAGTGATATGAAACCTGAATGGATTGGGAAAAATATTATAAATAAATAAATCTCACGCAGCAGATCGTCATTGACGTTTCAGCAATGTTTACATATGTTAGCTAGCGTGCTAGCAGCTTTCTACGCTCTGTCCTTACGGTTGTGGTACGTTTTCGACACATTATGCAGACAGTCACGTTATTGCAAAACTTTCACAAGCAGCTTCTCCATCTCCTCTATCCAACGGACCCCTTGTGTGTGACAACAATATCACAAATTCTCCACAAATGTGGCTTGTATGGGAAGGTTACAAGAAAAAAGCCACTTCTCAAGAAAGGCCACATGCAGTCACGACTGAGCTTTGCCAAAACACACCTTGAAGATTCTGAGGCAGATGAGACTAAAATTGAATTATTTGGTCTTAACACCAAACCATATGTCTGGCGGAAATCCAATCCAGCTCACCATCCAAATAACAGCATTCCTCCAGTAAAGCATGGAGGTGGTAATGTCCTGTTCTGGGGTGTTTCTCTGCAGCAGGGACTGGAGCACTTGTCAGGATAGAAGGAACAATAGATGGGAAAAATATTGTAAAATTCTTGAGGAAAATCTCCTGCCCTCTGCCAGAAAGTTGTCAAGGGGAAGCAGCATGTCATCTTCCAACATGACAATGACCCAAAACACACAGCTAAACTGAGCACACAGTGGCTGAAGGAGAAAAAGGTGAATGTCTTGCATGGCCTAATCAGAGCCCAGACTTAAAGAATTGAGAGCTTTACATTTGAAAAGTTCTGAAAGAGTCTGTGGATCGCTAGACACACCTCTACAATAGCCGTCATGAAATGTGTGGTATGAAAAAACTAACAGTGAAACTTTGAAACGTAAAAGTAGGCTACGTCAAATAATTATTACAATAAGTTAGGCTCCATTGTGTAACAAGCAAATTAAAATGATACACATTTATTATTCACAATATGGAAAGAGGAAATAAAACATAGTTCGTTAAGAGCATGACTCAAACATGCCATTAATGGGCTTATTAAATCCTCTTTTATTTTTTTGAGTTATTTTTTATCCATTCCGCATCTCCCACATATGTGTGTTTTAGTAAAGCGGTCTGTGTTGCAAGTTGGTGAATGAAGACACTTGCCAGGTTACGTGTCACTACTCTGCTTTATTAATTTATCCAGTGTAAAACCCGGACACCGCCACACAAATGTGGCTTTTTGTTAATGACTGTCCTACTACAGGATTTAACACAGAGTAACAGCTCACTACCAGTTACAACAGACACGGTAACAGTCTGGCACAGGCAATTCTAGTTGCATTTTTCATCAATTCATTTCTTAAATTATCCTTTGACTATGTTCTGGGCCGCCATGTAGCGGCGAAAACTTTTTTTGGCCCGATGCCAAACTTACTTGCCGACCCCTGGTCTAGATGTTCAAAGTTAGTAGAGACAGAGACAAATCCCAACAGACTAAAAGCTGTAATTAAAGCAAAAGGTGGTTCAACAAAATACTGACACAAGGGGGTGATCCTTTTTCATTCAGTGATTCTGTTTTTTTTTTACATGTTGGTGTTATATCTTTCACTTGGATGTTATAAGTTGCACTGAGTAAATGCAGCTGGATAAAACAAAAACTTTGTCCATCTTCATTTCAGGCTGCAAAGCAACAAAATTTGATTATTTTAAAGAGGGATAATTTTCTATAACCACTGTAACATTTGGATGAACTGGAGCAGGTATTCAAAGAAATGGATTGATGGAATGATGGGAATAGTGATAAAAAATCTAGATGGATGGTTCGGAGTAGTTATTGAATGGAAAGATGGATGGATGAACACTGACCAGGATATCGTCTACATTAAAGACATCCAGACTCATTTACAAAGACTGATTTGACAAAAACATGGCCCCTACTGCATTGTGTCTGTGACCTCTGAACTATGACCTTTGACCTCCATTAGGGGTGATGGAGAAACAGCCCTCATAACACTGGATCAATAATGCACTTTAAAACATTAACAACCAGTACCAGCACAAAGGACAGTTAATGTAAAATATTTTCTAGTTAAATTATCATTCTGAACCATCTGCCCTGGGGAAAGCTTATCAGACTGTGCTGCTAAATACTCACTCAAACCAGGAAGACCGTCAATTTTAAGCAACACCGCAATGTTTGAAAATCAGGCCATTAGGGAAACTCTACAAAACAAATTAAACTTGGTGAAAGAGTGACTGCAACAAAGATTATTGAGAACAATTACCCACAGAGGGACACGTCAGTTGCATACTTACGATCAATGTGACATTTAAAAAAGCAGACGCATTCTTCAAAAGTAACAAGTATTGATTTTACAAATAAAAAACAAAACAGTTCTGTCTGTACATATAGTTTACTTGGTGCTGCTAAGTTACAATCAAATTTCTGAATATTTTTATGATCACAGATTTCTATTCCACTTCTACTGATTTATTTCTTTTTGTTCATAAATTACCTATTAATTTTTTTGCTTCAAAAACAATGGCAGCAAAGGATGAAACTAGGTTGAATTCTAAATATAAATGTGTAAATATATATTAAATATGTATAATAAATATATAAATTACATTTTAAATATGGTAGCAAGACTGTTACAGTGAAAAAAAATTATGATACAGTAGGTGACACATATTAAAAATATACATAAATATTAGTTCTCACTTTAAATACAATTGATTTAAAATTGAAATAATTTAATACTGGCTTTAGAAATACACTAGCATATACAGTTAAATTACCTCAAAGCTAACAGACATGGACTTTAAGCAACAAAACTCCAATTTTGAGTTCATGTGGTCTTTACACCTTTTTCATACTTATATGAAACCCTACAAGCAGGTCTTCACCCAGTTGACACACATAAAACACCGCTATTACATACGTGTCAACATGCTAACTTCGTCAGACAAGCCACTCTCAAACAGTCACTCTTATACAAAGACGACGACTACAAAATCCACTTGTATTCATGTATAAGGCATCAGGAGACAGAGGGGAGTCCACGCACACTCCACTATGGTAATTCTCATTAGCGGGCACACGGAGGACGAGTCTCCATTGGCTCAGGTTAAAGAGGGTGAGAACAGAGAGAGCTGGAGGGCGTTTTAAAGTAACTTCCCAGAGGAGTAATAGCTTACACTCAACAGAAATACACACGCATTATTATAGTTGATGGAAAATTGGAGTCCTGGCCATCTGCTCCTTCTGTGTTTGAAGTGTGCAAGTACACAAGCTGGACTGTTAAAAGAGTTCAAGCTCAAGGTTAAGTAAGGCCCCTGCATGCCACTTAAATTCATACATTTACGCATCCTTCTGCCGCAACTTAGCATCGTATATATTAAACAGCCATTTTGTAGAGCCACTGGTGTGTGACGGGGAGAGAGCATGTTCCTGTATTGCTCTACAGTCCACTCTATAAACAGTATGTTAACCTGAGCTCTTTGTTTAAAGCAAGCGGTCAAGAGTTGGCTGGTTAGCATCATCTGTTAGCCCCTGCTGGTAGATGCAGTAACTACACCATCTGCCTTTCTCTGCTGACGCTGTAACTGTGAATTCTGAGGGAATTTTTTTGCAAGTAACATATTGCAAATTGCAAATATTTCATCATTCTATAGTAGTTGTTTATCAGTGCCTGATCTTTTTTTTTTTTTTTGAAGGCTCTTAAAAGTGTGAAAATGATTTATAATTTCCCATCTGCTGCCTAACATCACAAGATACTTCCATAAACATTACAGTTACACACATCCAGCACACACCAACACAGGAACATGTACCAACATCACTTTTATATGACAGATACGGTTTGTTTTATAGAATTATTATCCAGAACACGATTTGTTCGATTTGATCTATTATAACTAAATTATTATACTGTAACAATAAAAAACATAATACATATTCTAAAAATGTTAGCAATAATAATATACTTCCGTTTAAATGTTTTGGGTCAGTAAGATCTGACCCAAAATTATTACTTTTATTCAGCAAGAATAGAATAAATTGATCTAAAGTGACAGTAAAGACTTTTATAATGTTACAAAAGATTTCCATTTCAAATAAATGCTGTATTTTAAACTTTCTATTCCACAAAGCATACTATTAAAAAAATGTTTATTTAATTATCTATTTTCAGCATTGATAATAACAATAAATGTTTCTTGAGCATCAAATCAGCATATTAGAATGATTTCTGAAGGATCACGTGACACTGAAGACTGGAGTAATGATGCTGAAAATTCAGCTTTGCATCACAGGAATAATTTTTTTTTCACAATATAACAATATTTATATTGTTATATAAAACAATATTTTAACAAAAGTTTTTACTGTATTTTTGATCTAATAAATGCAGGTTTGGTGAGCAAGGCTGCATTTATTTAGAAGAAAGAAAATCTTACCAACTCCAAATGGTAATGTAATTAATATTGCCAATTTATTTCCATAAATGTCTTGGGTTAATTGTTCTTTCTCATATGAGAATGGAAAGATCTCGCATTCTTTGCATTTTCCACAATGCATCCATGTCACAAGACACAAGTGCTGATCCGTCTATGTTAAGTTCTAGTAGTAAAACCAATGGAACAAATGAAGCTAGTCTTCTCCTCCTGAGTTACCTAGCTACAGCAAACAAAGATGAAAAACTTTGGGCCGGCAACAGTGCCTTAACTTGTAAAATGATTATCTTGAGTGCACCACTGAGAATTAATGCATACAAATAATTATGAAATCTCATTTCCAGGAGGGGTGGCTCATATTTATATCCAAACTGTAAATAATTTATGTTGGGGAAGTGGATAGCAAACTAGTGCAGGTGACACCTGGACTATAAACACTTTCTCAATCCACTTTTCAAATTAGGATGACTCCCATCAAGAATGTTGCTATTTTATGAAAGGAAATGGCATTTGTTCAGAATCAAGCATGAGATTTTGGTGCTGCATAACGGCTCACATGGTGAATTATTTAGCCTCAGTCACTTATGAAGGCTTTCTCCTGTGGTTGCAAGTACTGATCTAAGGACTCCACCATTTGCATGTTGAGTTTTCTGACGTCTCTGCGATTCATGGATCCTCCAGGCCTTTTCATGGGTCTTGCGTTTGGTTCTCCACTCCAGCAGAAGAGCATTTATCTGTTCATTTCCAACGTTCTGAATTGCCAAATATACTTTTTCTAAAAGTATACTTTTTTTTTTTTTTTTTTCATGAATTTGTTTAAAATATAAGTTACTTTTCAAATTAGGATGACTCCCATCAAGAATGTTGCTATTTTATGAAAGGAAATGGAAACGTTCTGAATTGCCAAATATACTTTTTTTTTTTTTTTATTTCATTAATTTGTTTAAAATATAAGTTAAATATATTAACAATAACAGTACATTAGTAAGTCAATTTTAAATGCAATTTTAAATAAAATTTTCTAAATCCATTTGCCAACTGTTTTTCTTAGCAATTGGTTGGTTGTGTAAAATGCCACTGGATAGTTGAGATGTGGGAGCAACCAACGAACTTCCATGTGTGAACTGTCCAATGACATTTTATCGATTGGCAAAAGGATAAAGAAGGGCAAGTGGCAAATGGATAAAGAAAAGTAATCTGTATATGCTTTATAAAATTCAACTGAAATTATGCACTTAAAAATATTTATCAATTTACTGTTAAATTTAACTAGATTTTAAATATCAATCAAATAATCTTTAATATTGAATATTTAAAATAAACTATTTGAAAATGTATTTACATTTAATTTTTTTTTATTTCATGATTATTGATCATTTCATTTTATTTTTAAGCAATTCTTTTAGTCCTCCACAGTCCATATGTTTGCCACTTTTTTTTAAAGAAAAATGAAAATTACAAGGAAGGACAGAAAAAAAATGGGACTAGAAATGATGCATTGGCACCAGAGCTTAGAATGGTTCAAAACAACTATGCTAGGCCATGGCTTTGATGGTTCTTTCTTTTAGATCAATTCCTTAACCATTTGAAAAGGTTGTTACCATCTCAGCCATAAATTTAATGCTGCTATACACCACTGTACATGTTACAGTTTGCGTTTGTGTGGAAAGATTTCACTCATGTAACATTGTCTAATGATGTCTAATGATGCATGTATTTGCTTTCGTGTGCTTTACCTCAGGGACGAGGCGGTCCAACTGTCTGACACGGTTTTGGTGGGAAGGGTGTGTGGACAGCCACTCGGGGATGGTGGGTTCGCCTCTCAACTGATCATAGATCTCCATCTGCTGCCAAAACACTGGGCCCGCCCTCACGTCAGCACACGCCTGACAGAAACACACACCAATCTCAATAAATACACATACAGAGATGGTTTTCAGGCATGATAAAGCTCCGTCACCATCAAAGGAAGCAAACAGGGAGATGACAAACACACACACACACACACACACACACACACACCCATGAGAGCTCGAAGCTCTGGACAACGTCATTAGCTGGAGCTGAGAGCAGGCTGGATCATGGAAAGCATGACTCATGACTAGTCTAGCAAGCCTCGCATCGTTACCGCAGCAACGTGCCAGTGTCCTTCACCGAGCCGGCTGTGGCAGGCCAGATCTGGGCCCATTTACGAGCAGCAGGCGGTCGGTTATTACTACTATAAGAGATAGAAGGAAATTGATGGTTTCTCCATAATGATGCCAAGCATGGGATCAGGAGACATGCTTCCGTCAAGCAGTTTGTAAAGAAACAGTGCCATCTAGAGGTCATGTAGGATCCCGTTTTTCACAGTTTTAATTTATCCTAGTAATAAGAAGTTACTAATTATTAGTTATACAGCTTTTATTTAGAGTGACATAGAGGTGAAATGTGTAATGAAATGTTTAGCATCCCTGAAAAAAAAAAAATCAGCAGTGATTGGTTAGAGTATATTTATTCATGTATTATATCACATTTACATCCAAATGCTAATTAATTTACATAATCTACATGAAACAAAACCTAAATCCCAAACCCTAGCTATAACAGTTATTTGTTAACTGAAACTAAAACTATTAAAAATAGTTTTCAGTAATTCAAATAATGCTGAAATAAAATTCAAAACATTAATAAACACCAGTTAAAACTAATACTTAACAGAATATAAACAATACTAAAATGACACTGAGCTATAAACAGCTTAAATCATCTTCATTTAGTCTGATTTCCTGATCAGAAAATGCTGTTTGTGTCAAGTTTGTGGAATTTTTATCAAGCCTGACAGATGTTTTTCAGAAAATGGTTAAGGTTGATAATTCAGTTATGGAGTGTGAAACATGCTCAACGCCGAACGTCTACTTGCAGCTATGCTTCTGCGACGCAGCAATACGCTGCTTATCCATGGATTGTAAATTCTGAAACATATGAGCTGCTTACACTGTGGAACTTGTCTTATAGTGCATTTTAGGTGGACATTCAATATGTGCTCCCTTGGAATTGAACCTTGATAATAATAATAATAATAATAATAATAATAATAATAATATCTGCAGTACCTTAGCAGCCAGCTGCAGGCCAACCTGGTCTGCCTCTGCCTCCAGCTTACGACTGAAGGGCCGGTCAAATAAGAACTACAACACAGACAGAGAAAATGAGAGAGAAAATATGCAGTTAAATGAGCTATTCTGACAGAGCACACACAAGCTATATTGAGTAAACAGAGGAAGGTGGACAGAATAAAATGAACCATATTTGGAGAACAAAATGACTAGGAGATAAAAAGCCCAACCATTCAAATGTAATTTATTTTAAATGTAACAGGGGAAAAATGATAAAAAAAACAAGGAAAGAAAGGGATGAAAATATCCACATTAAAAAGAGAGCAAGAGAGTACACGGTATCTTAGAAGAAAAACACCATAAAAAAACCAAAGTACAATTAAATTGAAAGTGGGCCTTTGTTTCGCACAGTACAGTGATCCAGAAAATGCTAATTCAATATCCATTTAGAGAACAAATAAATGTAGCTGAATTTTAACTAACCTCAAATTGAAGTCTTTAGAAACCCAAATAAGATCTCCTCTGAGATATTGTTGTTGTTTTACAATGGTGGCGAGAAAGTACTTGAGAAGGTTTCTTTGAGCTCGAGCAGAGGAGTATAATTATTAACGTTTAAACGGTCTTTTAGGGATTTTAGAATCAATATTTAAGGAGTGTTTGCATCATTAATGGACAAACCCAACCTAAACTCAGTCCCTTAAATGTCTTATACTTAATTCTGAACAAACTATATATATATATATATATATAGAGAGAGAGAGAGAGAGAGAGAGAGAGAGAGAGAGAGAATAACGGTTTTAATAAATTCCTACTTTTATTCAGCAAGGATGCATCAAATTGATCAAAAGTGACAGTAAAGACATTTAAAATGTTACAAAAAATATGAATTCATATGATTTCATATGAATGCTGCTCTTTTAAAATTTCTATTAAAGAATTCTGAAAAAAATATTTCCACATAGATCTATCTATCTATCTATCTGTCTGTCTGTCTGTCTATCTATCTATCTGTCTATCTGTATATCTATCTATACACACACAAAATATACAAAAGTCATATTATTAAATTATAATATATGCAAGCATTTACATAAAATATATAACCCGTAAAATATTTTTAAATAAACTATATATTTTTATATATTTTATGTAAACATATTATATTTACATTGGTTCGAGACTAGCAAGATAAAGGGAAACATGTTGAAAGAAGGCAGATTATGAATCAATTGAAAAAAGAGAAAGAGAAAGATCATAAGGTCAGCCGTCACCTGCACTAGTTTGCCCTGTATCCACTGGCCCAGCACTGCTAAACTGTCCCGAGGACAGATCGCCCAGATCGCCGTTAACAGGATGAGAGACAACAGCTCCACCACGTGAGACAAACTGGCCTGCTCTGCCTGAGAAAGAGAGAGAAATTCATTATGGGCTTCTGTTTTTGTTGATTTCATCATTTATCTACTATGCTAATTTGTTTGTAATTCTGTGTTAAGAACCTTTTTTTCACTCTTAGCAGCCCATTCTTTGACAGCATGCCCAATTAGGAACAATGCAGAAAAACAAACAAGCAATTTAACAAAGATAGACATGATGAATCACACTGAATTTTAATCACGATACACACTGTATTGAAAGAAGGGCAACAGATATGCCAAAACATGTCCATGAGTGGCCGGGTATATGCCGCAAAGCAGATTTGTTGGGTAATTATGCCAGCTTCATAGTCATACAGTTGTATATGATGGTGTTGAAGGAGCATTCTGAGATTCTTGTGATAAGTGTAATGAGGTCTTGTGGTGTATACTGTGTATACAGTAACGGGAATCATTCTGTTATATTTTATATAATCATTTAACCTATTACAATAGCTTATTTGCATAAAAATTTATGTTTTTTTGTTTGTTTGTTTTTTTTACCCTCAAACACATTTTTTTTATTTATTTTTTTTACATAATAATATACCAAACCTGCAGAAATTAAAAATAAATACATAAATATGAGAAATAATAACATTTATTTATTTTTCATTACTGCTGTCTATCAACTAAAATTTTGGTTTGGTCCTTAAACAAAGCTATCGCATTCAAAAGACTTAAATAGCTAAAAAAATATAGCAAACAAATCATAAGTGACACTTTGAAGTAATTTTTTTTTGACAGCCACGGTTCACTGTCTACTTCAGTGTGGAAAAGAGCTGCTTGGACATTTTGCGAAACCAAAAGGACACACAAAATCTCCTTTTGTGTTTCACATATGCATTACCATTAATAAGGTAATAATAATTTATGCTTATGCTCATCAAGGCTGTTGATCAAAAATACAGTAAAACAGTAAAATTGAGAAATATTTTTTCAATTTAAATTTTAATATATTTTAAAATGTACCTAATTTTCTGTGATGACCAAGCTGAATTTTCAGCAGCCATTACTCCAGACTTTAGTGTCACATGATCCTTCACAAATCAGTCTAATAGGCTGAATATGTAAAATAAATAAATAAATAAATAATGTGTGTCAAATATAATATTGTTTTTCATTTTTCCTGTAGCTACCAGAATAAAATAAACTAGATGAGTAAAGTTCGCAGACGAACTTTGAAGTTGGCTTGAGAAAACCTAGCCTGAAAGTTCGAAAAAGTTTTAAAAGCTGTAAATAGTTGTAAAAGCTTTAAGTTCGAAAAGTTTTTTTTTAATTTACAGGTATATAGATAGATATATTGTTTACCAAAAACAGCTAAGACCAGCTAAAACAACCTAAAACCAGCTAAAAACCAGTTAAAATAAAGTGTGACCAGATCAAATTGGCTAAGACTACCTAGAAACTACCTACCTAAGACTACCTACCTGATGCTAGCAAGATTTATCATGGTTTAGCCATGTTGCTAGCAAGATTGGCCATAATGCTAACATGATGCTATCATGATTTAGCATGATACTAGCATGATTTAACCATGTTTCTAGCATGATTAGCATGTTACTAGCATGTTGTTAACATGATTAGCAAGTTACTAGCATGTTACTACCATGGTTAGCAAGTTACTAGCATGATTCTAGCATGATTAGCATGTTGTTAGCATGATTAGCATGTTTGCTAGCATGATTAACATGTTACTAACATGTTTCTATCATGATTAGCATGTTACTAGCATGATTATCAAGTTACTAGCATGTTGCTAGCATGATTCTAGCATGCTTAGCATGTTACTAGCATGTTTCTATCATGATTAGCATGTTAATAGCATGATTATCAAGTTGCTAGCATGATTCTAGCATGATTAACATGTTACTAGCACAATTAGATGTTACTAGCATGTTTTTTAACATGATTAGCATGTCGCTAGTATGTTTCTAGCATGATTAGCATGTTGCTAGCATGATTATCAAGTTGCTAGCATGTTACTAGCATGATTTAGATAGCTAGATAGATAAGAAATATGTGTGCTTGCTTATGAGTGGAACCTTAAATAGGTTGTTTGCAATCACGTGATTCTGATGACGTGCGAAATGCAGTTGGAGGGCAGGAAGCGATTTTTCTCCATAGAAATCACTAGCAGAAACTCAAAATGCCTGTGTTTTGCGTTGTTTATTGATGCTCAAATCGGCCAAACCGAGAAACCACAAGGAGCCAAGAAGTCAAAAGATTTCCTCCATCTCATCCATTCTTTTTCAGTCACTCCTGAAACTCTGCTGCATGTACAGGTTATGTGGCTGTTGGTCCTGTTAGTAGCACTCAAATACACAAAATAATGTTCTTTTTAACAACATCATATAACCCCTTTAATTATAATTTCAAGAGGTCTTTCAGTTGGGGACGGAAAGACAAGTCGCGATAAGGCTGGATTAAACTTCAAAAGGCAATGATGTCATTGAATAAATATGAGCGCTGCATGTTTCAAGTTAAAACGCAGCGCGGATGTCTTTATTTGAATGTATCTGAAGGCAACCGACTGTCCTCAGAAACGTGTCGTTGGCATTTTAATTTCATTTTACCTATAATTCCTGATAAA